AGGCCCGCCGGCTGGGGCCCGGGCCGGAGACCACGCTGGTGCAGGGGCCCGGCGTCTCCTGGATCCACCCCGACGGGGTGGGCGTGCAGATAGACACCATCACCCCCGAGATACGGGCCCTCTACAACGTGCTGGCCAAGGTGAAGCGGGAGCGCGACGAGTACAAGCGCAGGTGAGAAGGGGCAGCCCGGGGCTGGGCTGAGCCCCGTCCCGTCCCATCCTATCCCATCCTGCGTGGGGAGCTGGTGGTGGCCGCAGCAGGGAGGGAAGAGAGGGCTGAAGCCCTCCGTGGGGCGGCAGGAGGGCTGCCAGGATTCACGCAGCATCCGGGAGGGTGTCGGCGCAGGAGGAACCAGCGGGCGCGTTTGGGTTGCGGGGTAGCCGCCGGGCTTCCCGGGAGCTCAGAAAGCGTGCGGTGGAGCGCCAAGGTGAAGCAGAGCCTCAGAAAAGCCTTGTGTTGTTTTGGGCCTCCCCACTTCCTTCTGGTGCTGGAAGCCCCTTGGGATGCCAGCCTCACGTCTTCCGGCTTCTCATCCCTGCATGAGCACTAGAAATTGCCTTTTCAAGTAGGTCAGGCGCGGAAGAAATAGCGTGACTCTAGGAGTTGGTGCTTTAAAGGCAGGGGGAATCTGGAAACACTTGGGAAGGAAGAGCAGCCCGAAGGGAAGCGAGGAAGATGTACACGCAGCAGCAAAGGAACCGCGTGGGTTTGGGTTAGAGAGACTCGTGGGAGGAAGAAGTCCCTCTAGATATGCACATGTGTGCTGGGAAGTCCCTTGGCAGGGCTGCTGAAGCCCCCAGGCCCTTTCCTTCCCTGGCTCTTCCTCACAGCCCAGGAATTACTGTTTGGGCTCTCCTGGGCAAGTGTCCTCGCACCAGGTGCTTCAGAGGCAGGCAAGCCATGCAGCAGCACCCTGCTCCTGGAGGTATTTCCTCCTCCTGCCCAAAATAGCTGCAGCTTGCACGTACCTGGGAGAAGGGCAAAGGAGAACGCAAACTAATCTCGTGGCTGCTTTTTTCTTTTTCCTATGGGACGGCCACCGCTTTTCCACTGTGCCTGTAGCGCGGGGCTTCTGTTTCGAGCCGAGCTGCGAGGCTGCTCTTAGATCTGCACGTAGGCTGAGGTCAGGCAGCGAACTGGCATTGCTGGGTCAGGGCTCGGGGAGAGCACAGGGCAGGACAATATGATTAACAGCTTCTTCCCACCCTGAGTGACTGAGTTTGAAGAAGAAAAATCACTTTATGATGCTTTAGAAGCAGTTAAAAAATAAATGATTAAGTAGCCACAGGGGCAAAATGTTGCATTTTACCCACGTGAAATGTATTGCTGACCAGTGCTTTGGAGCTCTGGATCTGGAGCCAAAATCAAGGCTTGGGATCTAGGATGACATCTTATATTTTTGGCTTTATGAGATGAGAAGGGCTGAACAGACTTTCCTGTGACTGATGGTTAGTAGCTGATGGTTTAAAGGCACTGAGTAAGGAAACTGGAAAAAAGTTGGCATTACTTTTTTTTTTTTTTTTTTCCGCTGATTGCTACTGCTTTTCTGTATGCTTAAGGCCTTTTATCATTAAGGAAGTAGTCGGGTTCTTTTCCCAGGAGTAGGCAGCTCTCCTTGGTTTGTGTTTTTAGATCAGATAGCAGGGAGCTAGTGCCACATCAGGGCAATAGGAGCTAGGAACAGAAGCCACATTTTTGACACAGAGGGCTCAAGTCTCATCTGCTCAAAGCTGGAGACAGTTGGCCAGTGGCAGAGATTAGTGGATTTTCTGCAGGAAAACTGAATTTTCTGCAGGAAAGCTGTGTAGTGCATGAGACAAGGGGTACAGGACGAAACAAGTAGCCCTTGTTGGGGGGGGGGGGGGGGTGTTGGGGGGGGGGTGGGGGAACAGATTGGACCCTGTTGGTAGAAGTGGTGCTTGCAGAGCCCTTTAGAGAGAATGTGTGGAGCTGTGTGTCTGGCTGTGAAGATGACTCTCCTGCTTCCCTCTGTCCCTGGGGCAGGAGCAGCTCAGGTGGAAAGCCAGGTATGTGGTAGAGTGCTGAAGGAAACCAGGAGACAATGCTGAGCTCCTGAGCAGTGCTGTGAAAGCCCTGCTTCTCCTGGGGCTCTGTATACAGTTACCCTCTCCAATCGACTCCTGACTGACAGACAAGTTTGCTCTGTTGGTGCTGCTGAAGCTTCAGGAGCAAGGAGAGCTTTTTATGCCCGTCCTGCTTGGGAAGGAGCTTTTGGCAAAGCCCACTGGGGAAGGTGACAGAGGGAGAGGGGATGCTGGGGGAGGGCAGGGGGAGCCACCGGGAGCTGCTGCGAGCCTGTGGGCCAATGCTCTTGGTGTAAGCTATTTTTAGGCCCTGTTACCAGGAGCTAGGAGAAAGCAGACCCCACCCCCAGACCCTTTCCTACACCAGGAACTTTCCGAAAGGCATAGCCACGGCTCCTAAGGTCCCAAATACGGGAATGGGATAGGAGGATCTTGTTTCCACCCTCTTCCCTAGCAGAGGGCAGACCCTGAGATCCTCCTCTGCTCCCCTGGAGCAGAGACCTTCCTATCACACCAGGTTCTGATCTACCATGGGGACAATGTGGCCTGTCATCCCCAGGCAGCCCTTTGTGCCGTCTGCGCAAGGGCAGAGCGAAGGGATCACGTTAACACAGGATTTCCTGTTCCTCTGCCCTGAGGCCTTTGGCAGTGAAGCTTCTACTTTCTGAAGCAGCCCGTGGATTGTAGGGCAGCGTTGCCTCCACGCAGCCGCCAAAGAAGGCCCTGCACCCTGCAGAGCGGTGTGGCTGGAGGAGCATCTCTTTGAATGTGCAGTGCTTTAAGTTAAAGTCTAGGCTCTTGGAGGGGGTGCAGGAGCACTGGGGAGGGATGAGAAGAGATGCAGTGGCAGGAGAGAGGCTCGCAGGAGCCAGGCTTGGGAAGGGCAGAACCGAGGGAGGAGACTGTGGCTGCGTGATCTGGAGGGGGCAAAGGGTGCCTGTGAGCAGCCTACAAACCTGCCAAGGGCCTGGGAGCAGAGAGAGTCATCAGACCTGTTGTCTGTCTGCTACACCTGCGTTTCCAAATAGTTTTTGTCTTTGGATGCTGCAAGTACCGACAGGGGTTGGGGGATGAGTAGCATTGTGTTATAGGTGAACTTTTAACGATCCTGCAAGAAAATGCCCCAGGCCGCAGGAATTTGACAATTAAGGTTAAATTCAAAGTTAGTTCAAACATGGAAAAGGGAAATGCACAGCTTTGAGCAGCACCATGCGAGCTGAATAATATCCTGTAGCAGCAGCAGTACAGAACAGTAACTGTTCAGTGCAGCAAGGCAGTCCAGTGTTTGCAATGAAGAGGATTTTTAGAGGTGTAGGAGTTTATTTTGCCGTGTGAGCTTCTTCAAGAGGACACATACGTGAGGGTAGGGGGGCTGTAGAGACAGGACTGTATCTTGTCATGCTGCCAGCTTTGGGAGAGCTGGCCCATAACTGGTAAGGAGGTGGCTGACTCTTGGTGCTGAGGACCTCCTACCCTTGTTCTCTGCCCCCCCCCACCCCCCCAGTATTTCTGCATTTGGGCAGGTTGCTGCATTGTAGTGGTGCAGGAAGGATGTGCATCTCCGCTTGGCCAGGTGACAGGACTTCAGGGCAGGCTCCACCAGACCGGGGCAGGGAGGTTGTGAGCTGGGGTTATGTGAGGGAGTCTTGCTTCCAGCCAGCAGCCACCTGGCAGAGACTCCTGGCTGCTCTGGGCTGTGGGTGCAGTGATGCAATTGGGTTATTATTAGGAGTGGTGCATTGCAGACTGGACTGGGAGAAAAGGAGCCAGGCAGGAGTTGGGCAAGGAGGAGGTTCGTAAAGGATAGGTGTGCAGATTTGTGGTTTACAGTGAGAATCACTGTTGCCTTCTGCCTGGTTAAGTCAGAATTTATCCAATCTGTACTCATCATAGTGTCAACGTGAAATGAATTCTTTCAAGGATTTGCCGCAGCAATTTCCTTCCCAGGAGACTGGGCTCATAGTCCAGGCTATATAGACCTGGAGAGAGGCAGAGACCAAAAGAGAGAGAAAGCTTCACACAGAGAAATATGCTGAAAATGTTTTGTATAATGGAATGTGTTTTCTCCCCAGGGACAGAGGCCTTATTTGAACAGTTCCCATATAAGGAAAATTCTGCCTTTTAACTTTCTCCTTCCCTCTCTCTTCATCTTTTCCTTCCCACAAAGGGACTCCCCTTCTGTAGCTGTGGGATGGAGCCAGCACTAGTACTAGGACTGAGCACTCTCCTTTGGGTGGGATAAGGAGAAGCATTGCCAGCTTTAAGGGCTTAGAAATCCATAGATCAGGTCTCTTCCAAATTGTAAGGTTGTCTTGATGCCCTGAGATAACAAACTTGAGGGCTTTTCATGAGCTTTCTGGTTTCCTAAATCTTGGGATTTATTTTTCAAACTTACTGTAAATAAGGGTGTGCAGAGATTTTTCATGTCCATGTGCAACTTCAAAAGCTGGGGTCACGGTGGCTGTATCAGGGCTTGCGAGCGTTAAATAGAAACAAGAGAGATGACAGCACTGGGAAGGGCCCAGCTCTGGTTGCCTTCCCAGAGAAATTTCACTTTCCCAGAAGAACCAGATGAATAAGAGTACAGCAACTCTGCACTGTACTGCACCATGCAGTAGAGCGGTGGGCATGGAGCGCATGCCAACCCATTTACTTAATGTGATGCAGTCATTTGGCAAACAGCAGTACAGCTTGGTGGCCTCCCAGCAAAACACGAATTGGACCAACACTGCAACGTGGCCCAAGATGATGATCTCATGGCAGCAAAATATAATGGAGTCCATTGCCTTGCAACGTGTCTTTGCATAGAAAAGCCAGGCACCTTCTAACGGAGTCTAGCACAGTCTTTTGCAAAGCTATAGAGCCTAATATAGCACCCACCAGCCAATCCAGTCTGTCTGTGGGCTGGCTAATATGGTGCAGCCTTGAATAAAATGTGAGATCATCATGCTTCCGTGCCGGAGAAAACAATGTTTTTTAATCCAACCTGTTATGCTGCAATACAGCTGAGAAGACTCCTGCCCCTGCCAGGCCAGTGTGGCCGGATGCAGGGAAGCCCTTTGCTTTAGTCGAGTCAGGACAGCAGCCCTTTGCATTGAAGCGCAGCACAACTTTTCATGCTGTAACGTGGCCTGGTATTAGATTAGTTTGCAGTCACAGATATGACAGATTGGTGCAACTCTGCCACGTCCAGAAAAGCCTGAAGCTGTACGTTGTAGCTCAACCTAACGTAACCCAAGGCCAGCAGGAGGGGTGGGTGGGCAGACAGGCCGGCGGGCTGGGCCAGCCCACTGACCAGCCCTGCAGCAGGGAGTGTGATGCAGCGGCTGCACAGAGCCTGCGGTTGGTGTCCCTGGTGCCCCCCCCGGCATGGAGCAGGGAAGAGTTGGCGCACACAAAGTGAGGTTAGTGGAGAGCGTTGTGGGGCTGGGTTTGTGGCCAGGAGAACTGATGGGCATTTGGCAGCTGTAGCTGCCTGGAAACAAATAGTGTTGCATTCCTGGGTGCATTCCTCCTGCCCACCCCTGGTGCCAGTGTCACCCCCTCATGGATAGCTTTGGGGTGAGGGAGGGACCCTGCAGCTGCCGCTCTACCCTCTCCGGCAGCCAGCAACATGAAGCAGGCAGGATCTGACGAGCACATTCCTCTTTCTAGGTGGGAAGAGGAGTATACAGTGCGTGTCCAGCTTCAGGACCGAGTGGCCGAGCTGCAGGAGGTGAGCAGCCCTGTCCCCCTGCTTCCTCTGTACTGCAGCTGCCCCATGCTGATGCTTATTGGCGTGTCTCCCTCTACCCAGGAAGCCCAAGAGGCTGAAGCATGCCAAGAGGAACTGGCTATGAAGGTGGAGCAGCTCAAGGCAGAGCTTGTTGTCTTCAAGGGACTGATGAGCAATGTGAGTGGTTGACCCCCTCTCCACTCTGGCAGCGGTTGCCTGCTTGAGTGGTGGGCACCAGGTTGCTGTGCGCTTCCTCAAAGCAGTGGCAGACTCATAGGAGGGAAGGCCTGCACAGAAATGCAACTGTGCTAGATCAGAGCTGCTTGGTGGGGCACATCCAGCACAGAGGTAGTCTGTCAGGGTTGGTCCTGGGTGCGGTAAGCTCAGAGGGAAGGCGAATGCAGTCCCAGAGCGCAGGGACTTTTATTGCCAATAGGAACGTGAGGGATCTGACTATTGTGTGCCTTGCCTAATTCTCTTCCTCCTCCTTTGTCCCACTCCTGCGGTGCTATGGTGGTTGTTGTGGGTTCAGAACATCACGGAGCTGGACACCAAGATCCAAGAGAAGGCCATGAAGGTGGACATGGACATCTGCCGGCGTATCGACATCACTGCCAAGCTGTGTGATGTGGCACAGCAGCGGAACTGCGAGGACATGATCAAGATGTTTCAGGTGAGATGTGCCTGCTGCTAGCCCAGATTCAGCAGCTGTCTCTGGGGAGAAGTGTTCCCAAAGGAGGGAGAAGGCTGAGACAACAACATGTCTCTGCTAGGGGAGACACTTGGTCACCCTCACCCTTGCTCCATGTGGTCCCTTGCTCGCTCTCTCTCTCTCTCTCTCGGATGCTGTGCTTTGGGAGCATCAGGTAAAAGGGCACAGAGAGGAGGCGGATGCTCCAAATGTCACTTCAGGCATCAAGAGTCCCCTCAACCTTTTGCTGTACTGTTGGGCCCTGGGACCCCACAGTGATAGGGAAGCAGTTGCAGGAGGGAGACAAGGTGCTTGAGTGTCTGTCTCTAACTCCATCTCTCTCCTTCCCCTCCCCTCTCCGTCATCTTCTCTCTGTCTCTGTCTCTCTTCTCTGTCTCTGTCTCTTTTCTCTTTCTGGATGTTGCTGCCTTTCTCGTTCTTTCTCTCTCTCTTTTTTCCCTGCAGAAGCAGCTGGTTAGTTTCATTCAGTTGAGAAAATGTACAAATTATAAACTTTCTGTAAAATAAGGTTGGACTGGAAATATTGACATATTTCACTTTTGTTAGACTCTGTCTCTTTTTTCCTGTCTCTGTCACTGTATTTGCCTCTGTCTCTGGATCGGGGTGGTGGGTGATTTGAGTTCTGCAATAAAACCACATTGTTTTCTCATCAGATTCATAGATTCCATCTTTAGTTGCTTAGTTTTAATTTTAGAAAATGCTAAAACCATATTTTAGTCATTGCACCATCTTTAACCTGATCATAATAAGTCCATCTCTCTCTCTCTCTCTCTCTCTCTCTCTCTCT